TTAAATTAGAAAACAACATATTTAGAAAAATCTTCAAATATTTGGAAATCAAGTATATACTTGTGAATAACTAATTGATCAAGAAAGAAATAATAAAAGATATTAAAAATATTTCATACTGAATGATCATAAAACAAGTCAAATCTAGAGAGAAATTGATGACTTTCAATATTGACATTAGAAAAAAGAAATATTTGAAATAAGTTAGATCATAAGAAACTAGAAAAAGAAAGACAAATTGAGACCAAAATAACTAACTAGATGAAAAAAAGTTGTAGTGAAAAATCAATAAAATAGAAAACAGACTAACAGTGGGAAAAAGCAAAAATATAGTTTTTAAAGAAATTTAATACATTTGATAACCCTCTAGTTAGACTAATCAAGAAAAAATGAAGAGAGAAAAATACAAAATATCATTAACAAGCATGAGAGAGGGACTACCACTATAGATTCTACAGACGTTAAAAAGATGGCAAGGAAATATTATGAACAACTTTATGCCAATAAATTATACTGGTTATATTAAATGGATAGATTCTTTGACAAACACAACTTAACAAACTACCACAAGAAGAATAAAATCTGAAGATTGCCATATCTACTAAATAAATTGAATTTGAAATTTAAAAAAATCTTTTCTATAAATAAAGCGCCAAATCTCTGATGATTCCATTAATGAATTTTATTTAATATTTAAGGGAAAAGAATACACAGTTTACACAAACTTTTTCAAATGACATATATATAATATTTTATTTCTGCATGTGTTTTAAACCCCAACTTATTTTATGAGATCAGTTTCATCCTGTTATTGATATCTGACAGGAACATACCAAAAACATAAAATTACCAACTAATTATTACTCATTAATAGGGATGCAAAATTCTTTTTTTTGTGTGTGTGTTGGGGTCTCACTTTGTCCCCTGGGCTGGAGTACAGTGACACAATCATGGGTTACCACAGCCTTGACCTCCTGGGTTCAGGAAATCCTTCCACTTAAGCCTCCCAAGTAGCTGGGACTACAGGTGTGCATCACCACACCTGGCTAATTTTTTAATTTTTTTGTAGGAACAGAGTCTCACTATGTTGCCCAGGCTGGTCTCAAACTCTTGGGCTCAAGTAATCCTTCCTTCTAAGCCTCCGGCGTAGCTGGGACTACAGGCACACACCACCACACCTGGCTAATTTTTTTTTTTTCCTTGTAGGGACAAGGTTTCACTATGTTGCCCAGGTTGGTTTTGAACTCCTGGGCTCAAGCAATCCTCCTTCCTCTCCCTCCCAAAGTCCTGGGATTACAGGCATGAGCCACCATATCTGGCCTTAAATTTAACCTTTATCATAAATTAAACATACAAATCTTTATCATAAATTGAAAATATGCTATGTGTGTGTGTGTGTGTGTGTGTGTGTGTGTACTTTTCTTCTCTCTCTCTCTCTCTCTCTCTCTCTCTCTCTCTCTCTCTCTCTCTGGTC